GTGCTGCGCCGCACTCGCGAGCGCATCCTGCGCGTGGCGCCGCGTGAGTGCGGGGCGGGCCGGGGAGGGATGCGCACTTTTCCTTCCAACATCCTCTGCAGACGTGGAGTTCTGACCATATCGAAATGACTGGCCTAAGGTCACTTGGGTGACTCCAGCGTCTCCCTCTGAGGTCATCGCTGTCCACTATCAGTGATGAAATGCTGATGCAATGTCTTATGTTAGATATGCGCCGGTTGTGCTGACGGTTTCATGGCGTTGTGAATATGCCAAGAACCCGTGGAAGGTACACTTGGATCTAGTGGCGAGGCCGAGGCCGGATCTTGCTGTTGAACCCAGGCTGGCCTGACGCTTGTGGCTTTACTGTCTTGTCCTCGGGACCCCTGGCTGGGATTATAGGCTTGTGCCAGCACAGCAAGTTGAGTGTACTTTTAATATGGCGAAGTTTATGTTAGGTGAGTTTCATCTTCAGTTATCTCATGAAATTTTTCATTTAGTGTTAAGGAGGAGAGAAACTAGGAAGGTCAAGGCCAAATCTTCTGGGTTGACGTCTGTTTTGGTTGCTTATAAAATGGATGTGTAATTTAACCATTTTTTAGCCTCTTATTAAAGGTAATTTCTCGTCGTGATGGTGCCTGCATTTAATCCCAGGGCTCCCGAGACAGAGGAAGGTGGATCTACATAGTTTGAGGCCAGCCTGGTCTCTACATAGGGAGTTCAGGCCGAGGGCCATATATTAAGAGCCTGTCTCAAAACACAAATATAGGGCTGGATATGGCTCAGCCGTTAAAAGCACTTGCTGCTCTTTCAGAGGATCTAGTTCTGTTCCCAGCTCTCATAAGGTGATTCAAAACCACCTGTGACTCCAGTTCTAAGGGATCTGACACTGTTACTACCTCAGTCACAGGGCATGCATATGGTACACAAACATACATACAGATGAAAGGTTCATAAAATATGAAAAGTGAAGGCGGAGCATTCATGCCTTTAATTCCAGCATTCAGGAGGCAGAGGCAGGCAGATCTCTGTGAATTGGAGGCCAGCCTAGTCTACATAATTAGTTTGAGGACAGTCAGCTAAATACTGAGACCTTGTCTTGAAAAACCAAAGACACCTGTAAGCCCTGCACTTGGGAGGCAGAGACAGGCGGGATCCCTGAGTTCAAGGTCAACCATGGGTACACAGAGAAACCCTGTCTCCAAAACCAAATAAAAGATAAAAGCTATCAACAGTAGAAGGGCAGGCAAAATGGTTGAAAGTCAAAAAATGAGGACTGAACTGGGTGGTGTGGTGCACACCTTCAATCCCAGCACTCAGGAGGCAGAGGCAGGTGGATCTCTGTGAGTTTGAGGACAACCTGGTCTACAGAGTGAGTTCCCGGACAGGCTCCAAAAGCTACAGAGAAACCCTGTCTGGATAAAACAAACAAAACAAAACAAAAAGGACTGAGCAGACATGGTACATGACAGGCTGGTGGATTTCTGCTTTAAGGCCTTTCTGGTTTACATAGACCGTATTTTAAAAAGCGGGGGTGGGGGGAAGCTGAGGAAGGAGTACTTGATCCATGTGCTCACAGCTTACTCTCTTATTACAGCATTTGTGTTGCTTTATCTGATCTACACGTGGGGGAACCAGGAGTTTGAGCGGTCCAAAAGGAAGAATCCAGCCAAGTACGCAAACGACAAGTGAGCAGCACACATCTGGATGACAGTTTCCTGCCTTTGAAAGACCCTTCTCTGGGAGAGGAGTCTACATTGTGGTATCTTGAAGACACAATAAACTACTTACGGGCTTTCCTGTTGTGACTTTGTTTGCTTATTTGAGACCAGGTCTCACTATGTGTACCTGGCTGGCGTAAGAAATCCACCTGCCTCTGCCTCCTAAGTCGTGGTGTTCAACTTCATACCTGGCCCAACTTTGTTTTGTTTTGTTTTACAAGCAGAATCCTTAGTATGATTGGTAATATTCAAGTCATGATGATCCCTTTCCCAGCACAAGTCCTGAATGGGTTTTGGGGCAGGTGTGAGTGGCATGGGCTCTGGAAGGCCAGCACTTGACCCTCGCTCCCATTACAACTACAGCCTAGTAATGACCCTGTAATTAGGATGTCAGGTGTTCTTCCTACACACATAAAGGAACTTTTAACTCACAGCACCCTTTGAAGTAAGCATTATCTCTTTGCAGATGAGGAATCACAGTTTAAGTACTTTGCCTAGAATCACATGACAGTGAGTTGGTAGAGCCTGGTACCAGTGTGTGCTCTTAAAACTATGCTCTGCTGCTTTGCTCCCCAAGGAAGGCCTTAGCCTGAGGGGTTTCAGCTGTGAAAGAGATGATGCAGTCTCTTTCCTGCTACAACAGGTGTCAGTCCGGGAACCATGCTTGACTGTGTCATGGGGCCAATCCAACAGTGGCTTTTAGTTGTATGTGGACCACAAAGTCTAAAAAGGCTCATCCCTTTTTGGAAAAGGTATGCTGCCTGCTCTAAGAGTCTTTTGATGCCCCTCTTTCTCTTCCCCTGGAGATGATAGGGGGGCTATGCTTGGCAGTCCTGAGCCTCTCGCCCTGTTACTGCAGCAACTCACAGTGCAGTGTCTGACTCGGACTTTTTTGCTTGATGATTGCTGCCTAGTGCCCAAAAGTCCTCAGAAGAGAACAAATGACTTCCAACAACAGAAATTCTGTAAGTTGCATGGACTGTGAGGCAGGATATGAGAAATGGCTGTGTCTGATAGACTTATACCCATGCCCTTAAACCAGTGGCTCTCAACCTTCCTAATTCTGTGATCCTTTAATACAATTCTTCATATTGTGGTGACTCAACCATAAGGTTATTTTCATCACTAATACAAAGCTGATTTTGCTGCTGTTATGAATTGTAGTGTAAATATTTGTTTTTCAGTGGTCTTAGGTTACCACTGTGAAAAGCTCGTTCTGTCCCTTCCCAAAAGCAGGTGAGACCCACAGGTTGAAAAATCACTGCCTTAAACTCACTTTTGGAGCCTTAAATGTCTGATCTGTAAAACATGTCAACACAAAGTGCTTGAGTTAGCTGTAGTGGAGATGGTGAGATGAGTGAGCTTGGGGAAGTTCCCAGAGTTATGCCTAAACCCAGTTCAGTTTCCCCTGTTTGGCTCTGTCCAGATTTATTCCTGGCTCTTAAAGCCCATGAGTCATAGACTCCTTTAAGAATCTGAAATACTTTGAGTTCGAGACCAGCCTGATCTACAAGAGCTAGTTCCAGGACAGCCTCCAAAGCCACAGAGAAACCCTGTCTTGAAAAAAACAAAAAAAGAATCTGAAATAAAGCCAGGTGGTAGTGGTGCATGCTTTTAATCCCAGCACTTCAGAGGCAGAGGCAGGTGGATGTCTTTAAGGTCAGCTCTCCCGTGGTGTGTGTGTGTAGGGGGGAGCTGCAGGCACCAAGGAGATGGAGGCATAGCTGCAACCATCTTGACTTTGGGCACACCAGTTCAGAAGACTAACTTCAGCTCTCTTAGCCCACGGCAGGACATGAGCCTCTTGGTCTGACCTTTTGAAAATATATATTGTATGTGTGTGCACATGTGCTGTGGTGTGCATGGTGCATGTGGAGGTCAGAGGACAACTTTGTGAGGTCAGTTCCCTGTTCTATACTTTACCTTCATCTGAGTTCACCAGATTATCTAACTTGGGTCGTAGTTGCTGGATGGCAAGAGCCTTTACTGCAGAGCCAGGCCTCCAACCCATTGTGAGTGCTGAGGTGACCCTGCTGGAAGTGCTTTGATGTTCAGATGTTCTGCTTATTGCTGAAACCATCCCTTAGAGCTTTCCCCTTTGAGCAGAGGACTCAGCTGTGTGACAGGTGCCCAGACAGTAACTGACTTTACATTATGTAGGATCTGGAGCCACTTTAGTGACTTGTTCTATTTGTAGAGACTCACAAAGGACAACATGAACTAGCTAGCTGAACTGGCCATTGATTCCCAGGGATCCCCTTCCCACCTCCCAGTGCTAGGGATGCAGACCTGCTGACACACCTGGCTTGTTTGGCTTGTTATGTGGGTGCTGGTGATCTGAGATATTCCTGTTTGTGTGGCAAGTACTTTTCCAACTGAGCCGTCTGTCTCCCTAGCTGATTGAGTGAAGCCTTTTAAGGGCAGAGATGGCTGCTACGGTCCCATGTCTTAGATGCCCACAGCTTCTAACCCTAAGATACAGCTCTTTTGTCTGCTGTGATGCAACCATTTGCTCCATTTAGCTCTTTTTGGGAAAGCCCTGCTCCTGCCCCCACATGCCTCTCTGTGGACTGCAATCTGGGAAAGGGAGCTCTCTTCATTCTGCTGGCATTATAGTCAGGACTTAGGCCTACCTAATACAGGCCCAGACACCTGCCAGTTCTAGCCAAAAAACAAATGCACTTTGACCCTTTGTTGAAATTTTACCTGGAAACATTTTTGCATTTCCAAGTCTTTCATCTTTTATTAGGCACCCCCTGCTCAGGGGAAGCACAAAAGTGTCCCATTACCAGCAAATCTTAATGCCCCCCCCCTCCACCCTGCAGACCTTCAAGACAGATTCTCAAGTGTCTCTATCCTTTCTCCTGTTTCATTCCAGCATTCTTCCCAAATGAATATCCATGGGGCTGTTCCTGGACGGAGTGAGGAAACTCTCCCAAGCAAACCTATTTGTCTTTCTCTTCTTGTAAATTAGTCATTTGAATCCCCAGAAATGTCTATGAGGCCTGAGGCCTTCTCTCATCTCATCGTCAGGGCAAAAGACTTAAGCTGAGGAGGGGAAGGGCTGGCCTGTGGTCACACTCTGCAGTCTGCAGCTGCTGCCTCTTGGTCAGGAGTTCTTGCCTTACAGTTGAATCTGGCTCAGTGAGGCCTGGGAACTGCAGGAAGGAGCCTGTAGCTCTTTGTTCATTTAATAACATACTTGACAGGAGAGAATAGATGGATTGTTTACATTTCAGGCATAGTGTAGTTTTTCACAGAAAAGGTTTAAAATGGCTGTGGACAACTGGTGTCAGTTTTGCTGAGGGCTTAGAGCTGCTTCATCTCTCAGAGTTTAAGAGTGCTCCATGTTCTCTCTTTAGTACCAAGGATCAAATCCAGAGCCTTGCACATGCTACAGAAATACCTCATCCCTGGGCTGCTTTTTCACTTAACTACAACTTCCAGCTTCCACGTTTCCTTTAAATACAACTACAGGTTTTGTTTACTTGCCCCTGACAAGCAAGTCCTTGGGAAGGAGAGCTGGCCTGCAGATGGCTTAAATCTGGGAGCCTTGGACATAACGAATGGTCTTTTCCCTGTGCACAAGGCATAGACTCTTCCCTTTGATTGGGCTAGGATGAGCTTTAGAAACTAGACAAAAGGCTACCTTGATTTTGCTCAGGGAAAAGGCAGAAATGGAAGGTGGCAAGAAAACCCATCTTTCAGATGAGTTGTGTTATCACTGAGTGCTGGTGGAGAGGCTGGCACTGAGCCCACAGACCCAACTGGTTCTAGGACATCACGTTGTTCAGTCTTATCTAATCACATCTGTGTTCTTACTCAATGTTCACTGGGTCACTGCATAGCTTCACCCCAACTCTGCAAAAGTTCCCACTTAGTCTACTTGAGGTCATCTAGTCTAACCTCATGGAAGGAGGGGAGCAGCTGAACTGGTAGGATTTACTGGTTGTATTTGGTAGGTAGGTCTATTCAGCAACTCTTATGCTGTGGAGTTCTCTACCAGACTTCCATTTTCTACAGAGGACTGGAACCAAGGCAGACAGGTCTCAGAGTTAAACCCCACCCCTTGCCAGCTGAAGTCCATCACATTTCTCCCTTGGAGAAGCTGCATTTACTTTGCCTAAGGATTGGTGACCATGCTGCTCCCTTTGGCACTGCAGAAGTTCCTTTGTCCAAATGTCCAATCATGAAGATGAGAAGGGTTACCAGTGAAATTAATTTAGACCAGGGAGAGAGACTATTTGAAATTTGTGTATGTGTGTGTGTGTGTGTGTGGTTTCTTATTGTCATAGGGAGATCTAAGCTCCTATGCATGTCCTGACTTGGAATTCAGCTTTCCCCTTCAAACTTACTAAAAACACCCATGGCTGAGTGTGGTGGTCCACGTCCAAGACCAATGCTGGACTTTGAAATTGGGCCAGCTTGGACTGTGTTATGAGATGTTTTCAAAAGCAAAGGTCTTGTCACATAGTACCCATAACTACTCACATTCAGTAAAGTTACGTGTTAATCTAGGAACCTATTGGGATTTCTATTAAAGCTAGTAGTTAACTAACTACTGAGGATAAAGCCCATGATTCATTTGGTGTTGTCAGTACATAAGCTGTAATGACAGAAATTTAAGAGCTTCTGTTCATGTGTTCTTAAAAACAAAAAACCTATTAGTTCAGTTCATCTATGGTTTAAGTGGCAGTACACTGCTTGTCCCCTGGAGGAAGGGTAGAATTTGAGTTCACAGCCAGATCTTCACTAAGATGGTGGTGCAGGTGCCAAGATGACAGCCACCCTTTGTGAATGGGGGAACTAGGACACTGTAGGCTGCCTGCTTAAGTGTCCTCCCACAGAAGGACAGAGGGCCACATCCAATTGCCTGGACACAGCAAGTCAGTGTTTTTTGCCCACAAGGGTCAACATTACTTCTGACTTTATTAAATCCTATTTTGATTATAACCATCTCACAGTGATATTTTAGGACTTTTTTCTTGGTTCTTGGAATTGAACCCAGGACATCACAAAAACCCTCACTGTTAAATTGCCAGCCTGGTATTTTAAAAGTGTGGCCAGGTTCCAGGTC